GCCAGGAAACTTTGGAAACTCATTTCAGGCTTGGACCCTTATCAGAAAATTGAGGATAGTCTTAGCAAAGCAGCTGCACAGGATTTTATGCATTCTTTCCAGGTCCTGATTGCCCTGGGGGACCTCCTGTTCCTGCCTGCCCAGGGCTACACTGCATTGTTTCAGGCTTAAGTCAGATGGGGGAAGTAAGGCAGCTGAGAGATTAGGAAACTTCTTACAGACAGAATGAGGACTCAGGCTATGTCAAAGCTGAGGGGTGAGGGTCCATCACCCCCTTTTTCTATGGCCCCCCAAGTCCTTCCCTGATGGCCCCATCATGACCATGCCTGTCTTAGGTCATCTCTCCCTTGAAGAATCTTACCTATCTTTGGCTAACCAGTCATCTGCCCAGGGCCAAGCAGGATGAAGTAAAGGGGGCAGAGGCAGTGCCCCTGCCAGGTAAATAAGCTCTGTCTCCCTTAGTGCCTTATGGTCCCAAGGTCTTTTTACTCAGCTTTAGCCATGGTGGATTACAGCTTCTGAAACCAGGCAGGGAGGTTCTCAACAGAAATCTTTATAGACAGAACAATTTTTCTTATTTAATTCTTTGATTAAAACAATTTAAAGCATTTCTACTTATTAAAAACAGGCTTAAAATAATGAGGAAATAGAAAGCTAGACAGTTCTAAACAATGGTCACATATTCAATATACAAATATGAATGCACATCATAGTCAACGTTACTGTAATCATCAATATTGTCATAATAACTTGTATGGTAACAGATGATTACTAGACTTATTGTAGTGATCACGAAGTAAGGCATATAAATGTTGAATCACTATGTTGTATACCTGAAACTAATATAAAATTGTATGTCAACTATATTTGAATAAAAAATATGAGAATATGTATTATCTTGCATAAATCAGACAAGTCTTTTCTCTTCTTTATGGAATACAAAGGACCACAACATCAGAAAGGTTAATACCTGAAGGGCAAACAAGAATTTGTATGGTATTTATTACCACAAAGTAATATTTTATATCTTAGAAATGATAAAGACTATTATTCATTACTAACCACCTACAGAACTGGAAATATGAATAATAATATATGTGTCCTGACCTCAAAAAGCCTTACAGAAACCTAACTTGTCTTTTACAATATGGAATTGATAAAATGGTTTCAGGTTAAGATAAGATTCCATGAACACCTATTGATCATGTAACTAATACTATCACCAAAATTTAATTCAGTTGGCAATAACCTTTCAGAATACAAACTATTTCTGCTACAGAATAGTATTTTATCTTCAGGTTTTCATCACAATTCAAGATTTTACAACAGGATGAGGGATTATCTAAGCAAATTTATTGATCACCTCTATGGTTTCTGGGCTAAAAATGGTCGACCATTTATAGGTAGCTCCAAAAGTGAAATACCCTTCCCTATATTTAAAATTATTTTTAAAGATATTATTGATTTATTTTTAGAGAGAGGGGAAGGGAGGGGGAAAGAGGGGGAGAGAAACATCAATGTGTGAGAGAAACATTGACTGAGTGGTTGCCTCTGTCGCACCCGCAGCTAGGGCCTGGCCCGCAACCCAGGCATGTGCCCTTATGAGGAATCGAACCAGCAATGGGACAACACCCAACCCGAAGAGGCACACCAGTCAAGGCCCCTATAAAATTTGTAATAACACATTCAACCACTCCCATATCAGCTAGGGAAGGAGCTTGGTGCCCACTCATAAACCCAGCTTCCCAAGGCTTGGAATCCCTAATTCTGAGGCCTACTCAGTATAACCAGTACAAAGAGACACTAAACTAAAGAGTTAACCAATTTACACTGACACAATTTATATAAGATTCCTCTACTGTAGCGATCTTCAACAGGTGCGCCACAGTGACGCAAGAATTTTTAAAACATGCAACACCTGACTATTAAGTCAGGGGCAGTGACTTCTTTTCCATTAAATTGTCCAAATTAAGAAATGACGGCAGCCAAAACAACAGCTGTCCAGTGTGAATGCCCTGACTTGAACCATAAATATATAGGTTCATATATCAGAGTTGCATCTTATTGGTCATGTCACATAATAAGGTTGTGTCTGATTAGTTAACTCTTGGTACCAGAAACCCTTATATATAAATATAGGCACCTGGATTTTTTAAAAGTCACTTTGGAACCCTGGCCAAGTAACTCAATTGGTTAGACAGTCATCCCGATACATCAAGGTTTCAGGTTAAATCTCAGGTCAGGCCACATACAAGAATCAACCAATTAATGCATAACTTAGTGGAAGAATAAATCAATCTTTCTTTTTCTTTCTCTCTCACTCTCTCCCCCTCCTTTCCTCTCTCTAAAAAAAAAAAATCAATACATTAAAAGTCACTTTGGAGCAAAAACGATAGGTGTTACTAATTTTCTTTTTGTAAATCAATCAAATTACACCAATTTTTTTGTCAGATCAGCAAAAAGTGTTTTTTGGTGTGCCACAGAATTTTAGTAATTGGTATATGTGTGCCATGAGACGAAAAAGGCTGAAAATTGCCGCTCTACTGAATTCTAATATACAGGGTCCGGCAGAAGTAAGGTCTGAATATGGATGGTAGGGTAACAATATGGGTATGACAAGTTACCGTTTTAATTTGAACATTTCACCTCAAATGTCATATGGTGTGCTTGAGTGTGATACTGTTATGTTACAGCATTATGATTTTGTACTAAAAAAGGGGTGTTAGTTATGCCAGACCCTATATATGTAATCAATTAAGACAACTAAGATCTCAAAGCTGGGCCAAGACCAACTGAAAGTTCCTTCTCAGAAATGCTGAATTTCAGTGTGATGGCTTAGAAGAATATGCTCTGTAGAAATAATGATTTTCTAAACTGCAGATCTCTATAATCTGTTCTTTTAGTTGCTCTAGGAAATAGAAAATCTATCAAGTATTGAATGGCTACCTGCAAGGCTCAGTGCTAAGCACTTTAAAGGACTTGTCTAATTTAATCCTGACATTTTCTGGAATAGACATCATTACTTCCATTCACAGATTAAAAAAATGAAGCTGAAAGAGGTTTAAAAATTGTCCCAAGTATTCTATTCTTTTTGGTGCTATTGTAGATGGGATTATTTCCCTAGGGTCCTTTTCACATATTTCATTGTTTGTGTATAGAAATGCAATGATTTTTGTATGTCAATTTGCATACTACAACTTTATTATTTATAACAAGTTTTTTGTTAAAATTTTTAGGATTTTTCTATATATAAGAATATGTCTGCAAACAGATTACTTTATTTATTCCTTTCATATTTAAATGCCTTTGGTTTTTTTTCTTGCCTAATTGCTCTGGCTAGGATTTCCGGCCCTACGCTAAGAAGTGGCAAGGGTGGGCTTTCATGCCTTGTTCTTGATCACAGCGAGATATTACTTCACACCTGTCAAGATACTATTATCGAAAAAGGGAGGAAAAGACACATGTTAGTGAGGACGTGGAGAAACTGGAACTTTTGTACACTGTTGATGGGATGTGGGTGCTATGGCAAATAGTATGGAGCATCCTCAAAAAATTGAAAATAGCACTATCATACAATCCAGCAATCCCACCTCTGGGTATTTACCCAAAAGTATTAAAATCGGGATCATGAAGAGTAATTGGCATTCCCATGTTCACTGAGCACAATTAAGAATAGCCAAGCCCTGAACCGTGGCTCAGTTGGTTGGACATGAACCAAAAGCAAAAGGTCGCCAGTTTGATTGCCTGTCAGGGCAAGAAGCAGCCAGCCAATTGATATTTCACCTATCAGTGTTTCTCTCCCTCTTTTTCTCTCTCCCTTCCCCTCTCTCTAAAAATAAATAAATAATTTTTTTTTTTAAAAAAAGGCCCTGACCAGTGTAGCTCAGTTGGTTGGCCATCATCCTGCAAAGCAAAAGGTCACCAGTTTGATTCCAGTCAAGGCACATGTCTGGGTTGTGGGCCAGGTCCCCAGTCACAGAATGTACAAGAAGCAACCAATGGATATTTCTCCCTCACACTGATGTTCCTCTCTTTCTTTCTCCCTCTCTTCCCTTCTTTCTAAAATAAATAAATTAATATTAAAAAAAAAACCACTAGCCAAGATGTAGAAACAGTCTAAATGTCCATGGACAGATGGATGAATGAATAAACAAAATGTAGTAAATACAAATAATATTACTCGGCTTTCAAAAGAAAATTCTGCACATGTGAAAACATCATGCTAAGTCAATAAGCCAATTACAGAAAGACAAGTACTACCTGATACTATGTATAGGAGGTATCTAAAATACTCAAAGTCATAGAATTAAAATGAGTGGAAAAATAGTTGCCAGGGGCTGGAAAGATCGGGAAATGGGGAATTACTAACAGATAAAAAGTTTCTGTTAAACAAGATGAATAAGCTCTTGAGATTTGCTATACAACATTGTACCTGTCAACAATACTGTATTGTACACCTGAAAATTCACTGAGTGGACAGATCTCTTGTTAAGTGTTCTTACCACAATAAAATAAATTCTTATTCTTAAAAAAACTGGCCTAAGGATTCAAAAGCATTTCTCACCGACACCCAAACCTTCGCTCTGCTCTGACTTAACCACATATACTGACTCTGCGCCCAGCAAAAAGTACCGAGAGTTCTCTCCCAGAGCTGTGTGACGTTGGGGAATTCACTTAACAGTGCTGGGTTTGAGATTCCTCCCAATCAAGATGGGTCTCAGCGCAAACGCAGGCAGGCAGGCAGTGCTGCCATCACCAACTGGTCGGTTTGTGCCGCGGATGGACCTCCAACGGGCCGCAAGGCCAAGCGGTTTGCCCAGCGCCTAAAGCACAGCGCCGCGCGGGACCACTGAGCCTCAGTCCCAGCAGACGCGAAACATAGTGGGAGGATGGCACAGTGTCCGGCTCTGTTAGGTCACCATGACCCAAAGAAAAGGCGTCAGTACGGCCAGCCCACGGACTCGTTTCCTAGGCAGCTGGACTAAAAACTCGGCTCATACCTCCGACCAGATTCGCGAGCTGGCACCTCCCCTTCACTGTGCGTCTGGGTCGCCATCTTAGTCAGCAAACTTCTTTCACCGCCCCCCACGTTAGGCCCCGCCCCCACACCTCTGGATTGGCTAAGGTGATTCCCCTTCTTCCATACGATTGGATAACTTGACCAAGTAGAACAGTTTCTTTATATTACTGGTCTATTCAAATCACTAACCGTCATTGGTCTCCTCCTGCCCTGGCGGAATTGAGACAGGTTGGGGCTGGGGAAGAGACCCAACCGGAACGCCTGCCAGGAGTTGCAGTTTCTCATTTTGAGTAATCCTTCGGGCTGCACCGACGTTTTGGTTCAAGTCAGATATTGGTAGCCTACGCTCGAATTTTGTCTTGATGTGTAAATCTCAGAATTACAAAACTGTCGTATTTAAAAGTCATTCTCAAAAATGCACGATTTCGTTTTCTGTCTTTACACAGAGAGAGCAGCCTAGAAGGGTAGGTACAGAGTGGAAACCAAGAAGTATTTATTATTACATTTAGTTCACAACCTTCTCTCTGCAGATAGTCACAGAGCGTAGCAGCAGGTCACTTATGCTTCATTCAACCCGCTCCCTTGTGTCTTCCCAGAAAACCCACAATGTTTGCATCCCAAGTTTGAATCATGGAACCAGAACCGGCAAAACTTTGTCCCTGGCTGAGCTTTAATCCTCAGTGGTAGAAATAACCATAATTATGCTTGCCCCCCTGCCTCAAGGGCTTCTAGTGAAGATTAACTGGGGTAACAGATATGAAACATTGTAAACTTAAAGCATTATCTTTTTTCTGTATTCTTTTTTTATGCTGGATTTTTCTAGGGATATTATTTCTATTGCGCCTTCTGACATCTTTGACCTGAAGTTCTCCCAGCACTCTCCTTCTCTTTCACTAAGCTCTGCCCACATGTTTCAGTTTCTCAACAAACCCTGCCTCAGAGCCTTTGCCAGTGTTGGTTGTAGTGGCTGACCCAATTTTTACTCAATTATCTTTCAGATATCAGCTTAAATGCCGCTAGTTCAGATGCCTTCCATGATCCTCCCTCGTATAAATCAGTTCCCCTGCTAAACTTTCTCATAGCACTCTATATTCTTCCTTCATAGTTCTTATCACAATTTATAATTACATAGTTATTGTGTGATCATTTGTTTCACGTGGAGCTTCCCAACTAGACTTTCTGCCACAAGTGGACAGAGACTACGTCCATTTCGCTCTCCATGACCTCTCGCACATAGCAACCTTTCAAGAGTTATCTTTTGAACAAAGTTGGGTTGGGGAGGGTTTGCCTTTTTTATTTTTTAATTACAATTGACATTCAATATTATTTTATATTAGTTTCCAGTGTACAAATAGTTAGACAATTATATAATTTATGAAGTGATCCCCCTGATAATTCTAGCACACTTGGTACCATACATAGTTATTACAATATTTTTTTACTATATTCCCTATAGTAAAAAAATTCCCTATGGCCCTGGCTGGTGTAGCTCAGTGGATTGAGCACGGGCCTGCGAACCAGACAATCGCAGTTCGATTCCCAGTCAGGGCACATACCTGGGTTGCAGGCCGGTTCCCTGCAGGCCAGCTCCCAGCAGGGGATGCATGAAAGGCAACCATACATTGATGTTTCTCTCCCTCTCTCCTTCCCTTCCCCTCTAAAGATAAATAAATAAAAATCTTAAAAAAAAAAATTCCCTATGTACTTTACATCCCCATGATCTTGTGACCAAATTCACAAACAAATCCGTAGACTATATTATCCAAACCAAAAACTGAATCACATGTTCTAATAGATTATTTCAATTGATAATTCATATTAAAATTTGATAAAAGTATCAAATACTGGAAACTATATTTTATTAACCAATGTCACCCCAATCAATTCAATAAAAAAGAAAAGAAAAAAATGATAAATATATCAAATAAAATTGCACCTAGTTTTATGTTTAACAAATTGTTTTTGTTGAGCAAATACATGAACAGAAATACTAAATTCAACAAACATATATCAGTGAAATTTTTTATTGAATACCAAACAGCCTTGGAAAATCCAGCCTCATAATTTACATATCTATGTAATTTACATGTGTGTAATTTACATACACACGCACACACACACAAAGCAGGGGACCAAAGACTCAAATTCTGCTCTTTCCTCAAAGTATAAACAGGGTTTTCTCCCTGCCCCACGACACCCAGCAGATCAATTGATTGACTAATTGAATGAAATTGATTCTTTCACTCAGAGGAAATATTCAAAACTTTAAAGTATTACCACTATGACTAGGAAGACCACCACACAACTATATTTCTAGTTCATCTGTTCTGATGCCATATGAGGGGGGACCCAGAAAAAAATGGAATTTATTTATTAAAAAATTGTGTTTATTCTTATATGTTTAAACTTCAGTCACCTTCAAAATACTCTCCATTTTAGACAATACACCCAATCGAGACAGTTTTTCCACTGCTCAAAACAGGGTTTGAACTCACCGATTCTGATGCCCTTTAGTGCTTCTGCCATTTTTTGTTTCACCTCTTCCACATCAGGAAAACATTTCCCTTTGGGGACTCTTTTCATCAGGGAAACAAAAAAAGTCACTCTGGTCAAAATATGAGGTAGGTGATTAGGGAGGCTGGGGCACAGGGGTCATGCTGTTTGGGGTCAAAAACTGCTGAACACTCAATGCGATGTGGGCCAATGCATCTGTAAGTCACCCATCATGAAACAGGCAAGTGCCTTGAAAGAATCTTCAAAAAATATTCACTGCAGCTGAACACAGCCTCTCACAACACCAGCTTGCACACTGATATGAAAGGGTTCCTAGAACACTCACCGAGCAGAGAGGCCTATACTACAAGGGGCCTGCCATCCACAAGATAATGCCAGAGTTTTTTTGGGTCCCCCCTCATATTTAGCGTTTGGGGTAATATAGTACAGTAGTTAACATCAGGGGCTGTGGAGTTAATGAGCCTAGGTTCAAATCCTGGCCCCATCACTTCTAGCTATGTGATCCCAGGCAAGTTACTTAACTTTCTGATTTCACTTCGTTTTCTGTAGAATCAGGATAGTATAACTCTCAAAGGGGGATTAGGAAGATTAAACGAGATAATCTCTGAAAAGCTGCTTAGCAACAGAGTCTGGCACATTCCAAGACTAGATAAATGTTCCGGTTATATGATAAATATCAAGAATGCTGAACACCTGCCCTGGCCAGTGTGACTCAGTTGGAGTAGCGACCTGTAACCTAAACAACATGAGTTTGCTTCCTGGTCCGAGCACACGCCTTAGGCTGTGGGGTCAACCGCCAGTCTGAGCATATCCAGGAGGCAACTGATTCATGTTTCCCTTCCTCCCTTCCTCTTTCCCTTCCTTTCTAAAAGTGGTAGGAAAAAATGTCCTCAGGTAAGGATAAAAAATAAAGACTGCTAAACTCCCTTCTCACATAAGGCTTCTATCTCCATCGCTGTGTGGTAAGGACACTACATTACCCTTGCCGTTACAGTTTAATCAGTTACTCTGGAGAGGGGACTGTTTCTCCCCAAAACCGACAGTTGTCCTGTGACTTCTGATTAAAAGCAAGTAACATTGCTGAGTGCTCTCAAATCACACACCCACCCCAGCTGACAAACCCTCACACTCTGGGTCTGCAAGGGTGTCTCGGCTCCCCTGAAATCATCCTTACTCCGACTGGGTACTGTTTGTCAGCCTGGTGATAAGCATGGTTGTATAGAAGGAATTCATGCAAGTTCAGAAACTCATCTTGTTTCCAACTACCTGGCTGAACAAAAGGTCACAGAAAAGTGGCCCCTGCCCCGGAGGAGTTTATAATAGACTCAGGAGACAAAGTGAACACACGTAAGTCACATAGTGTCTTACGTGTGTTCTAAACAGAAGACAGTTTAGACTTGTGGAGGGCTAAGTACCTCAGTGGAGATCGGACTCCCAAAAATTCAGAGGGGCGGAGAAGGGAAGAAGGGCCCGGGCTTTCAGGGATGGTTTAAGAGTCAAGGCATGGGTTTGAGTGGGCCGCAAATGTCACTGCACGTCCATCTACCTACCGAAACAGACTTCAAGCTTTGGGGGCAGAAGGAGTGATCTAATCATCTTTGGGTTTCCAGGCCCTATCCTCAATGGAAGGGGGGGGCGGGTAGACGGGGAGGAAGCTGGGAGAGAAGTAGAAGAAGGAACAACATGAAAGAGAAAGACAGAAAAGGAGGATCTGTCCCTGACCCTCACCCCAACATCACGCTCTCCAAACCTCCACCTCTAACCACACACCCCAACGATGCAAGTGACTTGCAGTCCGGATGAATTGTTCTGTTTTCCACTTTTTTTCTTGCTGTTTCCTCTGCTTCAATTCAAACAGGATATTTTGATGCCCACATCAAAATATAAAATTATCACATGCACAGCGAACATTTCTGAGCCTTGCATTCAGACTGATTAGGAATGTGGTGAGGGTGCCTACTGAACACTTTTTTAAACAAGACTAAAAATTTAATGGCTCATTTTCTTGTCAAAATGGCCAATAACCCCACCAAAATATCACTTCCTCACGTGTGATATCCACTTCCCCTTTCTTTGCCAGCTAAATTCTGTTTGTTATGATAAAGTCTTTGAAACCACCTCTTCAATGGCTTTCTCATCATCTGTTTATATTTAGGTATATGCTCACTTCAGCAGCATATATATGGAGATTAGAGACATCCTGCCTTTTGCAACAGCATGGATGGACCTGGAGATTATTATGTTAAGTGAAATAAGCCAGGAGGTGAAAGACGAATACCATATGATCTCACTTACATGTGGAATCTAATGAACAAAATAGAAACAGAGGTGTGGACATATAGAACAGACTGACAGCTGTCAGGGTGGGTGTCGGGGAACTAGATGAAAGAAGGCGAAGGAATTAACCAAAGAACATATATGCATAACTCATAGACATTGACAACAGTGCGGTGATGGCCAGAGGGAAGGGGGTGCAGAGAGGAGGGGGCTGGGTGGAGGTGGGCAAAGGAGTGTAAAATGGGGATATCCGCAATAGT